GAGAGAGAGAGAGAGAGAGAGAGAGAGAGAGTCAGAGACAGAGACAGAAAGAGGAATAGAGATAGAGAACGATATGAGGAGAAATGCGCATCAGCACTCGCCCGAATAACAATTACGGAGCAAAGATTCGCGAGAGAAATCGTGGAAGAATTCCTTTCCCTTCCCTGAGATACCTCCCACTCCCCCTCCCCCCGCATGCGTCACTCACCCGTGTGATAGTGTATGAACCAGAGCACAGCCGTCAGCAGGCACCCGATGAGGAACGACGCCATCGCTATGGCGACGACCGCTCCCGACTCCAGCCCGATCACGCAGCTCTCAGCCACCGCGCACATCTCCCCCGGCACGGCGGCCGCTGGAAAAACAACGGAAGCGCGAAGCCATCACTACCATGACGACGTGACGTCTCGCCAGACGATAGTCTGACTACGCCGCCAGGGGCGCCTTGACGAGCCACCAGGGGGCGCCCTGACGCGCCACCAGGGGGCCTTGACGCGCCACCAGGGGGCGCCCTGACTCGCCACCAGGGGGCGCACGACGTGGGAGGCATCTCCTACAGGCTTCTACGATGCAGCTCTCGCTCGCATAACCACGGCAACCGACGTCTGCCGAACCCGATCGTTGAGCGATGGTGAGGGTTACGATTGATCAGCGAGGGAGTAACGTCCTCCACAGCTGCTGAAGGTCACCGTGATGACACGAGTGTGAAACCCACACCATGATCAACACTAGCTAACCCTCGCCTCCTACCACACCCTAGCAACAAGTCGCGATCGCAAAAACTGAGTAGACAACCCAAACCTAACGTAAATAAACCCCCACCCACCCCCAACTAATAACAAATCACACCCACACCTAACATAGATACCCCCCCCCCCCGACACCCAACCCCTGCTGGACACGCCACGGGTCGATCTATAGCAAGTTTGCTCGCCCAACGTAGATGCCCCCGCCCCCGCCCCACCTGCCGATCTGTAGCGCCCCCTGCCTGGCACTGCGTCCTCTCGCTCGCGCGTGCGTAACCTGCGTATCTACCGCTGCGGCCGCCGCCTCCAGCGTAGATGCCCC